GGAAAGTGAAGGAAGGTGCTGGGGCGAGGCGGCGGAGGGTTATCGCCGGAATTTAAAAGCTTTAATATAGTGGGCAAAAGCAAGTTAGGACCAACATCCAGAATGCTAGAGGGGAGTAGAAAGACTTTCCTCCTCGCAGAGCGAGGGGAGGGTCTGACCTCTCCCCCTCGCTGGCCCGGTGTTTGAAGCGCGACATCGGAGGGGCTATTCCGATGCGCGAAAAACCGAGCTACATTCGGGGATGCTGGGAAACGGGCAGTGGGCCGAAGAAGGGTGGCATCACAAATGGATGCCGAAATGGGGATGGGCAGATGCGAATAAAGTCCCGGCCCGGACAGTCGCAGCTGAGGCCCACCCCCACCTCCACTTCACGCGGCCGTTGGCGCGGCTGACTCAGCCGCACGACACAACGGGGATGGGTGCGGCCCGCTGCACACACGGCAAATGTGACGGCGGTAGCAGGCGGGAGGGCCACCACAGCCCATAGGGCCGTTATACATGTAACAGGTTTGGCCCGCCATCCGGGCGCGATCCGTCGACGAAGGACCAGCAGGAGCAGATGGCGGAGCAGGGGTCGGGGGTACAATGCTGGGCGTGAGGAGATGCAGGGTATGGAGGTGGGGATCATTTCTGATCCAGTTCATAGGATTAAAATAGGGGTCGAGGGCGCGGAGCTGCACAAACGCGACGTGATAGTCCAGCACCGTGGCCCAGGGATAGACCCTAGCGACGACAATAATATTATTGAGGTGTGCCGAGAGGGCTTGCGCGATTGGGAGCGCAAGCCACAGATTTTGTAGAACGGACATAAAAATCATCCACGCTTCTATGAACGTGAGGATGTCCGGAATCTCCCGGAGGAGCGCTGTAGCCCCCGGCACGGGTGCGGCGGGCGTGAACTGCGCCTCCCCGTTCGGCCCTAGAACGAGGAGAAGCGGTCCCTGCGGCGCGAGCGTGAACGTCCTGAGAAGATGTCCCAAATGGGCAGGTGGGAACTCGAACTTGCCGATTTGAGCGATGACGTCGGGAAGCAGGTGCGGGTGCAAAATGGAGGTAACGAGAATAGGATACGTACCATTTGCGCCCGGGGGAAATGCCAGAGGGTTTGCGGGAAGGCCAACCAGATGCTCGAGAGCATTGGTGGCCGGTCTTTTGGCGACCTCGGCAGACAACGCCGCCAAACTTTTCGCCATGTCGGCGAGGGTCTGCTTTAGCTCGGCAGCGGCAATCTCTTCAGTTGTCTGTGCCATCGGTGCTGCCTAAATGGGGAGGAAGAAGCGGGAAGTCGAAGAGAGTCGAGATTCGGTCGAGGCTGAGGTCGGAGGTCGGAAAAAATGTGCTACGGATGGACGAGCGCGGATATACGAAGCGGGACACAAGGAAACGGACACGAGGGGACAGGACGATATAAGGGACGGAAACGAGGAGGGAGGAGGAAGAAAAAACCGTGAGGATGACAAAGAGAGGGGCTGTGCTCTCTGCCCAATCCCCGTGGTCTTTCCTAGACCATCCATCTAGTGTTTTGCTGGCTTGGCTTGGCCCGGAAGCCATGGCTTTGGCTTGGCTTTGTCTGGCTCTGGCTCAGCATTTTCCAAGCCAGGGCCAAAGCCAGCAGCAAGCCAGGCCAGGCCAGAGCCAGTGGCTTAAGCCAGGGCTTGAACGGAAAATTTTCGCGCAGCAGTTCTTGAGGTTCTGAGGCCCAGATGAGTTGTATTGTGCATCTGTCTATTACTTGAACAATTTAGGACCAGAAATAGTCGGATTTACCGGCCATAAGAGTGTTATATCACCTTTGATCTGACATTGGTTGAACTGGAGCCGGCCTAATTGGGACGGCATGTTGAAATAACGCGACATTTGCCCATAAACTGGTCAGTAACAAACTGATGCATTCAGATTGCACACTTACCCAGTGAATACATGTAGAATATTTCCTCAATCAACAGTTTAGGGGGTGCCAGGTCAGGCCATGGCTTGACTGGCCTGGCTTGGCTTGGAAAATCTCAAGCCAGAAGCCAGGGCCAGGGTAAGCCAGTGGGAAGGCTTGGCCTGGCTTGACGAAGCCATGGCTTGGCTTGGCTGGCTTCTGGCTTGAAGCCAGGGCCAGCAAAACACTACATCCATCTCCCTCAAGGCTCCTCCTCCTCCCCCGCGGGCGCCTCCTTGGGCTCCTCGGCGCCAGCGATCTCGGCGGGGGCAGGCTTCTCCTCCTCGGCGTCGGCGTGCGTGGTGGGGAAGAGCGACGAGATGAACGAGCCGATTCCCGACATGGATGGGTGTTTTCGTCAGGTGGTGTGTGACTGCAATGAGTGACGGGGTGACCCGGGATGATCCGGGGGATGCGACAGGCTAAGCCTGCTCTTGAACGTCGACCTGGAACCAGTCGCAGTACCAAAGCTATGATTCCCAAGCCTACGCCGCGTGTTTTTCAGGCTCTGCTTGTCAATTCGGCTCTACACCGGTCAGCCGGCCGCGACACTGGATTCTGGAATCTGGATCCTCTGCGCTCGACTCGCCGCATTCTTCAGTCTCCACGGCGGCTGCAAAATCATTGACATAAATGGGTCCATCCCACCACTACAATACCGGCTCGATGGCGTTGTCAAGTTGGAGCAGATATATCCTGCAGAAGACCCCCGTTCGACCCGGGGTCGAGCCGTCCCAATAGGGCATCGTCTTTTTCCTGCGCCTTCCTTTTCCGTCGTCGGGTGAGGTTCATTCTTGCACATTTCTTCCACCTCGCTCAACTAGTTTAATTTGCAGGAGATATCCACGCAGCAGGATGGCTGTGAGTCTCTTTCTCCATTTAACACCGCAATTATTGAACTCCAGCTGGCACCGGCTCGACGGCGGACGGCCGCGTCTGCACTTCATATATAGAAGATGTAGACCGCAGAGGATCCTCTTTCGACTCGGGTTCGAGCCATAGGTCTGCGCGGACAGTTTTTTTCCCTCTTTCATTTCGTCCTGCCGCACATCTCCCGGCAAATCTACTCGCAGATTCACGCTAATTATCCATTCTCCAATTCCCCGACTTGAACCCGGTCCTTGCGACAAGTTTAATCGAAGCACCTCACACAGGGAATATGGGCTCGATGGCGGACGGTCCGCGTCTGCAGTGCATAGCGTACTGCTCTCATCCAATTCAGGAGAGGTTCAATGCCCCGGCCATCGGCGCCTCCCTCTCTCGCACCAATCCCCAACGCAATTACTGGACCTCACGAGACACTGTTCACCGTTTAGAGCGACTCGATGGCGGGCGGTCCGCGTCTGCACTGCATTCGATGTTGAATTAGGTACCGCAGAATTTCCTCGCTGGACTCGGGGTCGAGCCATGCACTGGGCGAAAATTCCTTCTGCCGCGCGTTCCTTTTCTTACACATGGTTTCAAGCAGCTGGATGGAGGCGAGTCTCCTTCTCCTCATAACGATGAACCTAACCAGCGTCTCGAGTACCGCACCCATAGAGGGACGACTACCTCCTCATACCGGTTGGATGGCGGACGGCCCGCACACTGGGGGCAAAGACCGATGCACCTGAAAACCAGGTGCGTTAAACGCATGTGGTCGGCGACTGGGATTAGCAAACGCCAAAGGTGTCAATCACCTCTTTGGCAGCTTTGTTTTTGGCTTTGAATCGCCCCCAGAAACAAAGGTGCCATAAAGGTGATTGACACTTTTGTTCCGTGTGCCGACTACATGTGGAACACATGCGTCTAACGCACTTGGGTTCCACATGCGTCAGTCTTTGCCTGCAGTGGCATCTGCACTGGATTCGAATATCCTTGAGAGGTTGCGCAGAAGATCCCGTTCGACTCGGGGTCGAGCCACTTGGGAATGTGAGCATTCGCGCCCTTCTTTTTTCGGAGTGAGCCGAGGTTCGTGTCTCGGTTTAATTAACTTCATTTGCAGGAGAGCTTCAACCGAATGGCTGCGACTCTTTCTCTAACACTGCGGACACGATAGCTCTCACGAGGTCCCACTCCCGACTCGTATCGGCTCCATGGCGTTGGGTCCGTTTCTGCACTGCCTACATGCTTCTCCCATTAGTTGTTATGCAGGAGATCCCCGTTCGACTCGGGGACGAGCCTTTACTTCGTTCCCGATTTCTTTTAACGCGTTGTCCCTCTGTCCTTTACCTTGGTCTACTCCGCACCGTTGAGAATTCTCGTTCCTCACTCATCCTTGCACCTCGCTTAACTCACCTCTTGTGCAGAAGCTTCAACCGCATGACGGCGAGTCCCCATTATTATGCAGCGAAGCCGTCACACTCGATGAGGGACAAATCCTTGCGGCTACCGGCTCGGTGGCTAACGGTCCGCATCTGCATTGAGTGTGTTGTCCGGCAATATTCTACGGTCACGCAGAAGTTCCCCGTTCGACTCGGGGTCGAGCCATAGATCTGCGAGGAGAAGTTCTTGTCTTCTTTCATTCCGTCTTAACTCACATCTCCCGGCAAATCTCCTCGCAGATTCGCGCTAATTATCCATCCTTCAATTCCCTGACTTGAACCCGGTTCTTGCAACAAGTTTAATGCCATACTATTGAAGCACCTCACACAGGGAATATGGGCTCGATGGCGGACGGTCCGCGTCTGCAGTGCTTAGCGTATTGCTTTAATCCGATGCAGGAAAGGTTCAATGGACCGGCCATCGGCGTCTCCCTTTCTCGCACTAATCCCCGACGCAATTACTGAACTCATGAGGCACTCTTCATCGCTTAAAGCGGCTCGATGGCGGACGGCCCGCGTCTGCATTTCCGGTCTGCCTTTCCAATTCCAAGGCAGAAGATCCACGCGCGACTCGGGGTCGACCCACTACAAACCCAGTGCATATTTTACTTGCACGTTCTTTTCCGCAGGCAGCCGAGATTCGTTCTCTGCTATCCTTCAACCAACTAACTTGATCTACAGGAGAGCTTCGACGATGGCGGTGAGTCTCGTTCTCCACTACTCGCAGTGTAGTTGACGAATCTAAGGAGGTCCCACTCCCGACAAGTACCGGCTCGATGGCGGAGGTCCGCGTTTGCACCGAATTTTCTTGTTGGATACTCCACATCTACTGCAGGAGGCCCCCGTTCGAATCGGGGTCGAGCCACTATGTTGGCATCGCGCTTTTTGGTCGCGCCACGGCCGTATCTCCAAGCATGGTACTAAGCCGCAGTCTCAGATGTGAGACAGGCTGCTTGATCGCACGGATGAATCGGGTCTCATTGACCTTTGAATCACCCCCTGACCGCCAGGCTATAAAATCGCCTCCTGCCTCCTGTCTTTATCCGCACTTCGTTCTTGGCTCTTTCCACCACGTCTCTACCCAGTATGTCCTTTGTCCGTCCATTTCTTTCCAATTCTGAGGCGGCCTGCTAGTCATCCCATCATCTGCTACTATGAGACTCGCTGCATTTACCGTCCTCACCATGTTCGCACTTGCTCTTGCAGCCCCGGCCTCGGATCCACTGGTACGCATCTCCTTTTAGCCTTTTCCACTTCGCTCACTATTCTCTAGAATATTGCCGCCCGCGACCTTCTGAAATCATTCGAGGGGTCTACTCCCGGGGAGCAACAACGCTTCGTCTCCAGCCACTGTCCTGACCTCACCGCCGCAAAGATCACTTATGTCGCGACTACAGAGCCCGACATTTCGGCATTACTCCAAGACCATGGGGTTACTGTGGCAAAGGTTATTGCATTTGTGCAAAGTGTCTGCGGGAAATAAGGCGATGGAATTAACGAGGACATCGGCGCTCGAAATGTACCCCTATCTGTATTCATTCTTGTAAATATTCGTGGAACTACCTCGTATGAAAACCTGTACATCTCTCATGTTAAATTCGCGTACAGTGGGGTAATGCACCCGGGAGAGGAAGTGCTTTGCTCCGGTTGGGCGGATGATAGAGCACACGGAGGCCACAGATGCGATCCCCGCCACTTCGGGCGGCCCGTATTAGTTAATGAACCTCAGAACAACGCCATGATTCCCGGGGTCTTAGTCTCCCGCGCACTTCGCGTCATCGGGCTGAGTCTCAGTCGAATTGTGCGCGACTCACCCAGACTCCACTTGATTCCGCGCGGCTCCCTCTCATCCGCGCGTCGCGGAAGTTTATCAGCCGCCCGTCTGCATCTCCCTCTTGACCCTCATCACCCACCCCAATCTCTCTACACAAATACCCATGAATGGCTTGTTCCTCCTCGCCGCCGCTCTCACGACCATCTCCATCGTCGGTGGAGCGCCTGTTGACGTCGCGCTGCGCGATTCCGCACAGGTGAGACCGCATCATGGTGCAGGGACGGCTGATTCTGATATCTATGTACCGCCTAGCCCTCCCCGACTCTCGAGGCGACGATTGCGCAGCTCACAACGGCGGGCACGATACCCGTGGGCATGCGCCCTGGGCTCGGTGCGGCCCAGTTGAGCGTCGTCGACGGGGGTGCCATGAGCGTGCGTCAGGGGGATGTGAATCACATCGCCTCGCGGGACGACGAGGTGACGCTGGGGGATCAGAGTCTCGATCGCATCATGGCGGCGCTTTTCAAGAGCATGGGGGAGGTCAGGGTGGGGCTCCAGAAGAACCTGGACGGCACGCTGTTGAGGCGCGGAGGACGGCGGGGTCCGCCGGCGATGCATCCGCTGGTGCGATGAAAATTTAGCGCGAGGAGGACGACTCGGCGGGAATGATTCGGGCTGGATATGCACTGATGATCTGAATTCTGTTTGTACTATACTGTATTTTATTGTTGGGGTTTCTAAGCGAAGAGTGAAACAATCATTCGCATTCTTCAGGCCTTCTGCGTGTATTTTGTCGTAAATTATTTCTCAGATCCCCTACGCTCGGAACTAGTTCTGCCTAGATAGACGCTTCACCAGATGGACCTTGAAGCTCGGAATTCTATTGGCGGACTCGGACTCCCATCCAACGGTCTCGGCTCAGTCACTGATTTTAGGACACTGCGCTGTACGGATGGAGTTGATGAAATGTATGTTGATTAAAGTGAGGTTCAGCCAAGCATACGCCAGGGTTCAGGCTCCTCTAGGTTGTGCGTCCCCTTTCTCCCCACGCCTTGCAAATATCTGGTAAGTACGTAAGCGGTTTGGAAAACGACCTGAACATTCCCGCTATCTTTAGTAGTGGGTTTTTGTGGCCATTTGCTGCAGCATTTTCTCCGATCACCACTGCGGGAGTTGGAACGAACAAATATTTGGCTGCTTGTAAACATTTGGCCCAGTTTGACTTCGCTGCCTTTTTAGGGCAAAATCCTCTCCTCTCTGTCCAACCTCCAACCCAATCCGGTACTTTGCTTCGGCTTTTCCGGCAGAATTTGAAATAAAACATCGGCCCGTGCGGCAAGAAACCAAACAAAGCTTCGGCTTTTTGCGCATTATCCAATTCTTCATTCGATCATAATTTATTCTGCCCCTAGTCCGCCTCTACTATGATCCTCCCCTATCTGCTTTTGTTTAAGAGCTCCGCCCTCCCTCAACCCACCTCTCCCTCTCTCCCCATGGCTCTCACTGTCGAAGGAGAGCACGGCCTAGAGCCATCGAATCAATGTTCAGCTCGCCGTTACTTGCCCTGAGGTCATGTCTCATGGAATCAATCAAGGTATGCTCTGAATATATTCAAGACATGGCGCTAACTAGTAACCATCCCTAGTTCAGCCAACAACCGTTCAGTAACTCTCAACAACACCTCGAACTCTGATCTAGGTAGGATTTCATGCTCGTTTTCTCCCCGACAGTCAGCCACATTGAACACAACTTGGAATAGATCAAAAACTCGTCTGTATTAATCTCGCCCACGCATTGACTCGGGCTCGATGCATATCCGTGAGGTTTGAACTCGCATTCCATCTCTATCTCATTTAACTTTTTTTTTTGTGTGCAGGCTCGCCGTATCCCGATGCTCTCTTACTTGTGCACTTCGTACAAGGGGGTCTGGATCGACTTTGAGTCGGAGTGGTGCACGTATCATAAGATTTTCAACTTGGTCTCCATTTGACGATGTCTCAATCCTCATTCGACGCTCTAGGGATCTTGACCATTAATCTCGCAAAATAAACACTCGGTGCATCCAAAACGAGGCAAGTTTCATGTTCATTTATTCTATTCACACCCGCATTCCGTCGCTTCAAAATGCTGAGGAATTGAACTTCGAGCTTTCGACGTTATATTCAACTGCCTCGGATTCCTAATGCCCTTTCATTATATCTCCTTCCGTCCTTCCTTAATCCTATTGCTTGCCATCTTTCTCAGGGCTCGCTTTCAACGTCGCTTTTACTTCGGAATTGCAGTCCGAGTCCCTCCCAGCTCTCCCCGTGTATGTCACTTTAATTACTGTGTACCTACTCCTTTGAAAGTGCGCTTGGGAGCCTCTAATGCCCCCGCGTTTCAATCTGTTCAACCTGCTAGAGATCCATCACGATAAGTCTTCAGCGATTCAGCTTCAATCTCCTTTGTCCTACCTGCCACCCCTACGATATTCGCGGGAATCCTTTCTGTTCGAGACTCGAAAGTACTGTACGCACTTGAATTTTCCTGAAAGACCTTGAATCTGCAGCTCAGTTGACGATATATTTATTCATTCCCCAGCCCGAGCCTGCCGCTTCGCGGGACAAGAGCAACAGTAAGTGCACATGGGTGCCGTCGCGCTCCCAACTCCCCATCCAGTCGTTCTTATCAACTGTCATGAATTCCAGCCTGCGAAGAACTGAATGCATTCAATTCAAGTTATTACCTACAACGCCAACTACATAACCGCCGCCCGCGTGCGCAAGGCCGAATCATTTAGTGGCTCCCGAAACCCTCCCCCACCGAAACGACTCCTGGCGTGTCGACGTGTCCGTAAGACTCAATGGACGCTGCACCGTGCACGCGCCTCGCGCTGCGCCACGCCCGTGACTCGCGAATCGCGCGGGCCGCTCCCGACTCCTGCAGAAAATGCTCAGCCAGGGCCTTTTACGCCAAGCAGCTCGGAATATTGCGAAAGATAAATAGAGAGTTTGCGCTGCAGCCATCCAAGCCATCAGTTGGCATTTTTGCAGCGCGCAGATTGATGACTCATGGCTCGGATGGCTGTGATAACTGAGATTAATTTGGACATGCTTATGTCGTGTGGGGCGCACAAGGAACATACATAACTGGGGGGCTCATTCGGGGTTTTCCTCTGTCACAACACTAAATTTAGGGACCAGTTTTGGTATTTCGGGAAATTTAAATGGGCTGAGCATGTTGCTACAGCCTTTGTTAAGGTAGACATTGTTATTGACTGGCATAGATGTCTCCCTGACTCAGAGGATGCATTTATTTAATTGGTGGACTCAGCCATCAGCCATCTGTTTGCGCACTGCAAAAATGCCATATGTTGGCTCTGATAGCTGTAGCGCAAACAGGCTAATGGCACGGAACAGACTGAAATGGTGAGATCCGTTCATTTGTGTATAACTGTGGTCTCATCCGTTCACTGGGCCGGTACTGTATGTTAGTTCTGGTTTGCTACGGACAACTGTCCAGCAGTCCCGGGGGGTTTTCATGTGCCCGTGTTCTTGCTTATTTATTTGTTCTCGACCGTTGACTCTCGTTGATACGCAGGTTGGTCTCCCCATCGGTCCAGATGCAGAGCTGCCTGAAATCGCTGCAGATATGGTCCCCGGTTACGTTTACGGTATGTGGGTCAGTATGCAATGCATCGACAAGGCTGTCGGGGAAGAGGCCCGGAAGGTGTGTCTTTCACCTGTCTAGTTATATTCACGCTGATTTGGAGCCAGTTTTACAGTATGAGGAGCACCTTCCACGACACCATTGACCGTTAGGATTTCATCCACGGCGATTCTTAGGTGTGCGACAGAGTGGAAGGCGGCTGTGAATTTTGTTAATTGTTGAACATGCCCTCCACTACATGTGCCGTGATGAGATCTGGACGGTCGCTAATTCTCCTGCTACATTGCTCTTGTACGGTGTGCTTGAACCATTATGTGTTTCAAGTAATCAGGAGTCTTGGTTCCCATTATAAACAGGTGCAATTTATAGTCTGCTTAAACATGTAAACCCCAAGTTACTGCCCCTCCGTCCCTGGCTCGAGCAAAATATTTTCGGGATTTCAT